CTATTGTACAATTTGGAGAAAATTGTGATTATTATTTTTGGGCCAAGATTTTCTTTTGTGTACTCTGGATATGGTGGAACAAAATGTATATGTTGGTTTTGGACATTTCCTAATGCCGGAGGCTACAGCTGAATGATGTGTTAAAACCATAGGATATTAAGGATATGTTTAGAGGATATATATGCCTCACACCTGCAATGTACTTCACTGGCGTGTTGAAGCCTGACAGCTTTACACTGTAGTCATTATCAGTTGATACAGGATGGTGGTGGTGATGATGGTAAGCTACCACAGCTGCCCTGGGGCAGACTGATGAAAGAGGGATACCAATGTGGCCCCTACAAAAACAATCTTAGAAGATTAACAAAAATGTTAAGATCAAACACTACTTTAATGATTGCCAATATAAGAAATATTGTTACTGCGGCTACTGCCATAATAGTTAGTACTTCTATAGTTACTGTTGCATTCTTATCATTGGGAACATAAGATATTCTGGTGCTTAGGGGACTGTAATAGTCATATAAACACCAAGACCAAAAGATTTGTCAGTGACAGAGTACATCTACAAAACATCCCTGAATCCCCCGTCTTTCTGGAACCACCTCGATCTGATCTGTCTGGTCTCTGCTGTCTGTCTTCATTTTGACAATAAATCTTGTCTATTTTTTGTTTCAATCAAGAAGTGACATCCCACACACACACAGACGCACACAAACACACTTGAAAGTTTGACTGTGTTCTTGTAATTTGGCATTTAAGGTGTCACTGCTTTGACAGACATTGATTCTGGCAGCAGGAAACACCTGGTGTCCACTCTGGCAGCTATACCTTTGTAATGAACCAAATGTGAGTGTTCTCACTTGTTTCGACAGTGAAATTTGAGCCAGTTCAATCCTAACCTTGATTACTTCACTAACTTTTTAAGAAGCACCTGATATCGCAATGGACATACTGTAGTCTTCCAATTTCTGCAAACAATTAAAGCACCCAGCTCAATCTGTCAAACACACAGATGTGTAGGCTAGATTACAGTGGTTTTGTCATTCCCATTGAAGAGGACCAGATCAGCCCAGCTACAACATCTTAAACCCCATCACCTTGACAACCCCATGAGCTCAGTATCCTAATATTTACTTCGCCTTGTGGTATATCAGACTTTCCATCTGACTACGGAGTAAGCTGTTACGGCCCGCTTCAAGACTTGTTTATTTTTCCAAGAAAATGTCAAGGCAGGTCAAACATTAAAGTATATTATAGTGTATACAGTAAAGGGGTGACATCACTGCAGTGACAGCCCACTGTCACTGCAGTGACTGATCACATGAAGCAATTGAGGTCCTCGTGGATATACTATGTCAAACAAATGTGTCTCATACATTTACAATGCGACATCCTAAATGGAACTTCTGTATCTACAACAACATATAAGACTATCATACTTATAGTTTGTTGGAACACTGTACACATAATAATCATTCAAAACGGTTCAGAACACAACATGCTGTCTCCATCTTATTAGAAAACATGTATGCTTTTTGGGTTGAAAGTGAGGGTGGTTTTCTCTTTTCACTTTTGAAAAAGCTGATGTACTGTATAGAAGTTATAGATGTTGAGTTTGAGTTCCATGTTTGAGGTTTGAAAGCTAGATTCTTCAGCTTAATACAAAATGCATTAGAACATGTGCAACGCACTCTTCCTCCTTCCAGTTACTACAATGCAAAAATTATTTCAGTATACTTAGTATATCCGTTGTATCAGTCGTATTAAAATTCTCATTCTGTAATTAATACATGAGGCGATTGAAATCAGGAAGCAGGGTGGCTGGACCATCAACATAGACGAGGGGGCTTTTGCCTTGGCTCACACTGACTCTATTCTCCAGAGACCACAGTGCGGCGGGGGGCGTGGTCAGTCTGACGGATCTGTAACATCTGTCAGACTGACCACATCCTGTAATAACTGCTGACGAAGGCGGAAGTCTACCTCTGAAACAAGTGGTAATTAAGCAGGACTAGTTTCTAGCCATAAATACATGTCATTTCAACCATACGTTGTGGAATATATTAGACATTGATTTGTCACATATACAGTTGAGCTGTTATTATCATATACTTTTTTTAAATTATAACATTTTTGAACTGATTTTGGGAGATCTCAAGCATGCAGTTCATGCAAGGCAGTGAGATGGACTTTACTGGAAATGTAGGAAGAGGAAGAGATAGCTTTACCATCAGGGAGGATGAAGAACCTCATCCACAACTACCACAAAACTACAATCTGTCATACAAAGACCAGTCAGTCATTAAAAAGACCAGACGCACTACAGAGAACTGGGGGAAACTTCTAATCTGGGTCAGAAGAGCAGTTTCTTATATATACACACACAACCAAAAACAACGAGAGAAGAAGAAAATGATTGCGTTTTTAATTCATAATCTTCTACATTTCTTCCTGGGTGTGTAAACTTTCAAGCCCAACTGTATACAAGCTGTTTTCTTAATGACCATCAAAAGACTGGCCTTCATATGCGAGTGTTCCACATACGTGTTGTGGAGTAGAAGTGGTGCAGAGATGTTTATTTGTACAGATCTGGGGGCTGCCTCAGGGGGGGCTAATCTGACACTGACTGACAGATGCCTCCGGAGCTTTCTGACTCACCCTGGCATCGGCTCCCAGCGACGCCTTCACTTTAAAAAAGAGGTGAGTGCCTGTGAGTGGGAGAATAACAAGTGCGGAGATAATCCCATGTGAGGCCTGTCCTAAATTCTGTATCATTTTAACTGATGAGCTTCTTGGGCCTCCGCCATGTCAGCGCAGTAAACAAATAATTATTCATACTAATAATCTTCCATATTCATGTGCAAATAAGATCCCATTCCTGGCTTGCGAGCGGCTTCAAGGTTGTATGTGGGAGGTTCCCCTAACTATTGCTCGACTTGACTCATTCTGTGCCAAAAAAAAAAAAAATCTATGGGTCAAGGAAGTTGTGAGCGGAGTGGGGCCATAAACAGACTTTTTAGTGTTGCTGTTTTTGAAGTGAGTTGAAACTTTTGACGAATGAATAAGTTAAAATGCGATAGATGTTGGGAGCATACGTGCGTTTGTAGCTTAACGTCAAATGGCAAAAGTCTTCTTCGCTAATTCAAATATTCTTCTTATGTTTATGAAGAAAGATGGTAAAAAAAAAACACAGGGATTGACTGGATACTTTTGTTTTGAAAATGTATTAGGATCTGCTGTAAAGGTAAATATATATCCTGAACGTTTACCCTACCAAAGCCCATTAGCTGCACTTTAATGTCATGTAATATAAATAATGTATACTAGCAATAACAGCTTTGTACAGTCTCACAGATAAGAAAATATGTATCTGTGTTGTAAATATTATCATATACTTGCTCTATTGCACTGGTTATGTGTTAAACTGCATTTTGTTGCATTGTTCTGACTTTGTAATGACAATAAACTTGAATCAAATCTAATATAATCTAATATTATATGATCACTGGGTGGACTTTGATGATACAAAGCCCACTCCCAAAAGAAAACCAATCGTTGCATGATTTTGGATGTTTTCAGAGGTGCTGCTTTCTGTCATAGTGTCCACACAAGCACAGTCTTAACCACAAGCTGTACAAACATGAAATAGACACATAAATCCATTTGTTTATAACAAGAACCTCAAGTCAACAAGAGGCATGTGTGCGTTCTTTACTTATTTACTTTAGTTGTGAATGACATAAGTATCCTAAATGAAGCAATGCCCTGGTGCCATAAACTTAAAATCTGATTCTAGGAGTTAAGTCAAGATGACACAAATGTTCAGAAGTAATCAGGGCTGTAACAATTAATCGCAACTAATGGGGTTAATCCAAAAATTGACCAGTTTTGTGATTGATTAATCATTACTGCTCTGTATGTTGACTTCAAGACATCCCACATCTGACAAGACAGTCATTAAATACAACATAATAAGTGTAATTGTTTGTATGTTGATGATAAAACAGTCTGTTCTGGAACTTGGGGTATTCTCTGGTGGCTGCATTTCATGTGAGATTGAGAAGGATATTAAAATTTGCGTTACATACCATTCATTCATCAAAAGAAGATTGCTGTATTAATCCATTATCAAAACAATCATTAGTTAAGTAATACACAAGTAAACTTGACAGACACTTTCCATGTTTGGCATCTGCATACAGTAAATCCTGAAGGAAAGGTGAACTCTGACACTTAGAGGAAGGTTTCTCACTAGCAAATGTTGTTTAGAAATCTTTACTTTCATCTTTACCTTCATTAACAAGACTTTACTTTCAAAATGTTGTAATCCAAGGCCTACTAAGTAACATAGTAATCCTAGAGAGTACTTTATGAACCTATCTGAAGGGAGGCATATGATGGACATCTGCATTTACAATTATGTCTGAGCAGCAAAGCCAGTGGTGATATTATATAGTTTTTTTCTGGCTGCGCCTATTGCTCGACATCACATGTTTACAGTCCTGTCTCTTAACAACAACAAACTCCACGCACGAGCATCATAACGCGTGCCACTATTACGCACAAAGCTTCCAACTTTCCCCTTGTATTTTAGGCATATGCACTCGGTCTCTCACACACAGAAGATGGCTGGTTCTTTCCATATGTCACTGGCCTTTAAAAGCAGATTTTTGGCGCCTGTTTATTTGCTGTTACAAGATAGTGCGTATCATATACGTGCCTATTAATAGTGAAGAGGGTGACCCACATCACAGGGCGCCCTGGCAGAAGTCTCTGTGCGTCAAACGGCGCAACTAATATTAAAAACACACTTTTGCACGTTTCACTTTAAGTGTAAAATGAATACGTGTGGTGCTGGGCAGGTAGGTGGTGGGACTTGGCAAGACGTTTTTTTTGTCAGAAAGCACGTAAAATGAGAAAATATCACATTATACTGTTTGTAATAGCCATCATTACGCTATGTGGAGAAAGCAAGTTAGTTGGTTCACAGCACGTACCATTGTGGTGCAGGGAAAAGTGCCAACTCTCTCAAACTCCCATTTTCCACTATCCAAAAAGTTTCCAAAAGTGTGACGCGTGGGGGAGAGAAAAGTGCTCTGCGTCTGGTGGCTGCAGGAAGCAAAAAGCGCCCTAAAAGCCGGCCTGCTCCGTGCCGAACATGGTCCACAGCAGTAATCCACAGCTCCGGCTTCTCCTGCTGCGGTACGTAACGTAATGTCCACTGGAGAGTCCGCGTCTCTCACCGTCCAGCCGCGCGTATGAGCGCCTCAGCTGTTGCTCCGCGGAATCCTTGTTACTGACACCGAGCACACGCAGCAGCTCTTAAAGCGCAGACATCGTCGCCCTCTTCGCTCGTACGGGACACCGCGGTGCAAAACAGAGCAGTGGATGGTTCCGGACAGCGCACGGACCGCGCTGCAGCCTGTCCTCCCCTTCGCTGCTGCGCTGGTGAATTATTAATAACCAAAGTCTGGCGCGCAGAGCCACGGAGCAGAGCGGCAGCTGGGGCTTTGCAGGGGAATTAAATACGGGCTCACAGTAAACCGTGGACGCATGGGATTAGTAGCTCTCACCGGAGACCGAGCAGGGCAGCCCGGGGCCGGAGCAGAGGGAGGCGGGAGGAGCCGTGCGCAGAGCCTGTACCCTACGGAGGGGTACGGTGGTGCTCCCAGAGTCAGTAAAGCAGCAATATGAACGTGACAGGGGTTTAGGGTCAGCGCCCTTTGACCAACATTAAAGCATGGGATTTTCTGATGTGTATTCATACGTTTCTTATTACTGTCTAATTCAGCCAAAAATGTGTGTGAGAAGAAGTCTTAAGTATGAAGCTTCCATTGCATTTATGCAGTGCCACAAGGATTAAATTATTCCTGTTTAACAAAGCCGTAAAGACTACAAATCAATGATTGTATGATTTTTTTTTTTTTTTTTTTATTGTTTGAGAATGTCGTTATTTTATATTTATTGCATTAATTGGTTGACATACAGACCTTCATAAATAAATATAGATAACCGACTAGAAAATATAATGTATATATTTTGTGCATACTAATATTGGCTATATTATTCATGTTTCTGTAAATCCTCACTTGGATTGACATAAACAACAGTTGTCTTTTCTCCACTATTCCACGTGTGTCCAAGCTGTCCATGTTTGGAACAAGACATACATTACACTATCTATTTGGTTACTTATTTAGGAGTTCATGTTTTAATTTAAACAAATATTTTCAAAACTTAATGAAACAAAGCGTTTGAGTCGTGAACAAAGTTGTTTGATTCTGAGAGAAGAAAAGAGGGAAACTATGAGAACATAAGAACTACCGACTCACTCTCACAATGTTAAATTGTTTGAACTGAAATCAAATGTTTGATCGTTTATCCAGCACACGCACGCACGTGCATGAAATATGTCCGGTGAGTCCTTTATGCGTCATTTCACTCTCCAGATCACTTTCCCCATTTGATATATTCTGCAGGTTTGTGGGTTTTGAGATTTTGGTGTATTCTAAAATATCAATAGGTGTATTTCCAGCAGGCAACACTCATGTGTTAGACCTTGGATTCAAATTGTGTGACAAAAAAACATCTATTAACAGTTATAGCCGCATATGTTATTCATTTCCCATCGTAGTCATTATTGATAAATAATGTTTTTTTATATATATATAGGCCTAAGATATGATATATTACGTTGTCCATGGCATCATATTGCCAGCATCACTGTTTATCAATGTACACGTGTATTACACAACATATTATTTATTCGGTCATATATCACTATTAGTAGAAAACTAGAATAATATACACAATATTTTAAGACTCATATACAAAATGGCCTATTGTTGGAAAAAGGCCAAGTGAACGAAAATTATTATGCTGCTGTCTTTTGCAAAGTTTTAATGAGGTTAACTTGAATAAAAGTTAACCTCATTAAAACATTATTAATACCCTTTAAAACGACCATATTATTATTGAGACGATACTTGAAATAATGATGTTTGGAGCCGTGAGTGTGGCGTGTGGCCTTGAGGCCTGCAGCGGAGGCCTGACGTGGAACAGCGTCCTGCGTGGCGCAGTGCGTCATGTGCAAACTGTGGTTCTATTAAGTATTGATAATAAACATGTCCGTCAGTCCGTGTCTTGTTGTCTCCACGTTAGCCCTGATATCAGCCTCATATCATTATTCCACTGTTCAGGTGCAGGCCTGTATACTGTATAACCGACTCTGTCAATGCCTTTTGTTTATTTATAGAGTCAAACACGCACATCGTTTCAACAAAACATACAATGACGTCAAAAATAAAATCACTGAATTATACAGACCAGGCTATAATATCTCACATACTGTAAAGATGAAACATTAAACTAAAACAAAGTAGGCCTAATAAAACATGCAGATCTGTTTTGCGTCCCGTATACCATATTTGCAATGTAGAGCCTGAGTGAGACATTTACGCCTATACGACTCATTCCTGGATCGCAAATGGACTCTATAAATAACAGGCTGGCCAAAACCAAGACAAAAGTCCCACCAAGCAACGTGCCGGCGGGGAATGCTGACCTGGGCAGTGGCCAGTGGGACCGGCTGAATACTATGGCCCAGACACAGGCAGGCGGGACAGACTTCTGCAGCTATAGGATGAATGAGGAATGAACTCCCTGAACCGCAGCTTTGGAGCCAATGGCAAAGGCACATCAGGAACAGGGGAAACAGACTTTCTTAGTGGGTCTATTACATACAGCCTGGGATTATTATTTGTGTTTGTTTGTGATATTATATTACATCTGCTTTTTATGTCTCTGTGTCTTTAATAATTGTTCCTGTTGTTGTTTGCTGGTAAAATTAACCTGTCATGGAAGATGGAGAAGGGTCGTAAATCTGTCATCTTTACTTGGAAAAATGTGGATTAATATGCACTGTCCTGTTTAAATATACAAATAAATCAATAAAAATAAATAACCCTCACCCTATTCAAATGAAAAGTAGCATGTACTGTATACCACATCAATAATATACATATTTCTCTGAGGTTGAGGTACTCATTCAACATTTTTCCATTCAAATAATCTATGTTTACATGTTTAAAATAATTTCAGACAAAAATGCTGGCCTGACATGTGTTAAATATGATTATAAATATGGTGCTTAACATGGGGCATTTATAAATAATAACATTGTAAGAAGAAATATAAAGAGTCAATTTGCAAAAACAGATCTCTCCGATTAGAAAATGTGTCAATTGGCAGTAAATTTAAAGGATTTGCTCATCAAGCAGCAAATCCTTGTTGAGCAAGTTGTGAAACATTATTTTTAAGCTTTTCAAAAAACTACTTGGTAAAGAGGCAAATTGTAAGTCTTTTCAATATTTGTTCTAAATGCGCTTATCTGTTTTTTCAAATAAACTATTCATATGTAGCCTGTGTATATTTGTTAAGTGACTATTTGTCGTCTGCGACTTCCATTTCAGACTCGAGTCTTTTACGTTTCGGTTTTCCATTTTTCCTGGTCTGGTGGGTTTTTGGGTCAATGTTTTTATGAACTGTGACACTTTGTGTGGCACTATTTGTAACTTTTTTTGTCTGAAAATAGTTCCTCAAATAAAGGTTGCTTGATTGACCAAGATTTGTAAAATATAAACATTAGCCTCGAGCAGACCGTATTCATCTTGACTTCTGTTGCGGCGAGTGACTATCGTTTATAATTATTCTTTATTTTATTACATCTCCTGTACAGGTTAGCCATCAGCGCTGTCGTTATGTTTGGTTGGTGAATGAAGAGCTGAATTGGATCCTGGACAGCCATGCATCAGTTAATAGACATCTAATGAATAAAAACACTGCACTCCTATAATGTGGTATGGCACACGGGCTAATTGTGTGAGCGAAACAGCACCAGAGAGCTGTGCATTGGTCAGAACCTTCGCCAGACTGGTGCAGCGCTAGCTCCACCTCTGTTACCAGGCAGTGGAGATGACCACTCACATCTCAGCCAGCTTTATCCACCAAACATCCACTTTGGCAGCCTGTGGTGGGCCTGGTCAACAGAAAACTAAAACACAGACTCTTTACTTTTCAACATCGGGAAGCCAGAGACCAAAACTTCATGTAACGAAGGATGTTATTGGATTAAGAATGGAAACAAACACATGGTTTTGATTGATGGCATTGGAGGTAAGGAAAGGTCAACTTTATTGTCAGTCGCATTTATTCACACAATGGAAGTCACTGTGCATTCAATAGTTGTCAATAATTATTCATATACTGTATGAAATTGCAGCTTATACTGAAAGTTTTTGCGGTTTTGAAAAACGTTGAAAGGCCTTCATAAACAAACTACGACCAACAACACAACACTATGACCTCACATCTTTCCTCCCCTTCCTTGTATGTTATTATTTACATTCTACGTTCTATATTATCTGTGAGCAACCAATTTCTTGCACATAGAAAGTAACAAAACACTTCTAAACTACCTTTTAACTGACAATATCTATACACACCTTTTTCTATGAAGTCTCCAGAGGCCATATCCCTTATATCACCCAATTTCCAGAACCTATAGGAGGGCTTTTTGTCTTTGAAATGCGGGTTTAGGCGTCAGAACCTATTTTAAATTACTCTTACGCCCTCGGGAGAACGGCTTTGAACATAAAGGTGTGTACAGATGCAAAGACCCAACACTTTTTGGGTGATTTCCAGCCCTCAATGTCCACTCTGAGCTCTGAAACAACAGATTACTTTTTCATTAGAACCCAGAGATTTGTGAAATAATAAACAATTAAGCAATTACAGGTGACACTATGGCGCTTTAGAACATGCCCTCTGATTATTTGTTTTATCTGATTGCAATTTTCTCCAATGCTACCTTGCGGGCTATGGTGCAAGGATTAGCGCTTGTAGGTGAGATGTGATTGGTTAAGCTGGGAGCCTGGAGCATCCCTGATTGGCCTTGGCGTTGTATGTGCATGTGTGTGTGTGTGTGTGTGTGTGTGTGTGTGTGTGTGTGTGTGTGTTGCTGCTTATCAGGGCCCCTCCACTGCAGCGAGTGGGTATCTCAGGAGGTTTGGGGCTTATCTCCCGGCAGCAAGACGGATTTATACGTGTGATTAAGTCTGGCAGGGAGAGCGTGCAGTGAATGGGGGGATTTTGAACACGCCGGTGGTACATGGTGTAAGAGAAGGTGTGTGTTTAATAGCGGTAAAATAGACATATCAGCGCAGGTGATGGAGTGCAGAGGTCTATTAAAATTCAATGAAATAAGAATTTGAGATATTGAGCTTCCTAATGGCTTCTCTGCCTACCAACACATTCAAATTAGGCTATAGTGTCTTGCCCATGAACCACAATAACTCGAAATCTGCCTTCCGCTGTATTAGTATTGCACGTGTCAGCGGTATACTGTATCATATAGTTTCAACATTATAGTTTATCACTGTCAATTTCTGAAGAAAAAATTTGGTTCTTGTGGGATTGAGCGGGACCAACACAATCCTATGTGTTTCTATAGTGTCTTGCCCAAGAACACAATAATGACTGCATTTTGGACTTTGCAAGGGTTTGAACCAAGCCACAATGATTTATTTTTATCTATTAATTTATTTGTGTCTAACTAATGATAATGATAACTCCTGTCTCTGGTTGAGCTTTTCCCAACAGTGAAATACTATATTGATTTATCGTTCAATAACTGAAAGGATCTATTTAAAAAATGTTTGCCATAGTGGAGAGAATGGGATTTCTGCGAATGTCTTGAGAGGGATCAATGCGTGACTTTGATGTGTCAAATGTAACAAATGCTGTTGTAGTGCACAACAGTGGTTTATAAAATAGACAAAGGAGAAGCTGATGCTACCGTACATTACTAGATCATAAACTGAACTCCTTCGGAAAGTGTAAATCCATAGTTGATCATCTTGTATCAGTCCACCTTAGGTTCTGATTCTCATGTTTTCACTTTAGTTCCCTCTTCTCTTCCTCACTGTTGTCGTTTGGGCTGTTTTGCTGTGTATACAGTAACAGCAAGAAGAGTTATAGCCAATTCTGCTAACATGCTACTGTTTTTAGCAGCGCTGTAGAAGCTTGAGGACGCGTTCTGTGAGTGGAGGAGAACGAGCATCACGCTAAAGTCTCTACTCAGCACTTTTTACGGCCTGAATTCATACACAAGCTGAATCAATGAGCTCAAGCTTTCAATTAAATTACAGATTATTATACAACTTGTATAAGCATTTTTATGAACTCCTTAAAAAAAATCGGGTATAGCTTCTTTAAGGAAGCTGAGGACCGGTCTCTGAACGTATGTGTGCGAGTTTTGTTTATTTGTTGTGGAAAATAGAAAGTAAATAGGTAAAAATTAAAGCTGGTCTACCTAATTAAAATATAACTTTGTCATAAAATGTCACATCTTTAGCTCAGCCAATCAGCACACAGAAAGGACAAATGATAAAATGTTCTTCAATAAGATAAAAGCAGCAGGTTGAGGTCTGACTTGCGGTTTACACAATTTTACTTCTACAAGACTTTTTCTGTTGGGACAAACAATTTCCTGTTTTAATTATTGAGATTTTAAAATGCTGATCTAAGGATGTGACAGAGGCCGTACATGTCTAAACTAGTGATAGAAGTGTTGTGAGAGAGAATCACTTTTCTTTTTATGAGGTTGTAAAGTTAGCTAACCCATGCTCCACATGTTTAACAGCGCTCTTCTTAGTGCTGTGGATGCACGCCACAGAGAGCGACACATAAACATCATGACCCACAGTGGGCAAGGCGGCGAGTGAGGGGCTTCCACCTCGTGGCGTCCGTAGCCTCGCCAAAAGAACTGCTCCCTGACCAGGTAGAGAACAGAGAAACAGGCACAAGGAGGACAGGCAGAACACTGACCACCATCTACCAAAACCATGTGGAACAGGTCCCAACAGCATTGGTCCAACAAATTCAAAATCTTTAGGTTGTGCTCAGAAACATGAGAATGAAGACAGTTTGATGTTTGTGTACGTTTTTGCCTCGTTGGTACATTACGCAAGTCTATGCTACGTTGAACATTCCATAAATGAGGAATGACGAATAAATCCAGATCTGTCCGACTAATATGTTGCATTTACTTTATTACATTTTATTATGTATATTTTAGAACTTTCTTCGTTCTTTTAGACCTCATGGTTGAAACTGAAACATGCTAAACTGAGTGGGCCTGAATTGAAATGAAAATGAATGAGGATGTATATGTTTGGAGTGGGTGATGGTGGTAGTCCATGCACCATGTGTGCTCCAGTGGGGCCATGGAGAGAGGTGCTCAAGTGCTTCTGGATGGTATAGCCCCTCCCGTCCTCTCTCTGTAATCTGTTTTTCTGGCTCAAAATGAAAGTGGAAGCCACCAGAGTCCTGCTCCTCTCACATCCACTGCCCCTCACCCCAACTGTTCGCTCTCACCCTGCCCGCTTCATCCTTCAGCCACTTCAAAACAACGACCTTCCACTAGAAGAAATCATGAACTTTGTCATTTCCTTTTGGCTTCAATTTATACTTTTACTTGTCTTGGATTGATACAATTGACTATGATTCTTGGAGAAAAATTATTTAGATCTCGAGGTACTTGAGGTGAATAGCCCATAGGTTCTCTGTTTAAAAATGTAACAATCAACTCAAAATGCGGCCTTATCCGTGGCTGCAATTAAGCAGGATTTATCAAGGTCAAAGCTGAATGGGAGACCTCTGGGTGACCACTGAATATTCATTAAAAGACATTCTTAAATTTACGAAGTGTAAGCAATATATCCCTACTCAATCAGGTAAGATAAACTACAAATACTGCTGAGTGGGTAGCGCTCGGGCCTTTCTGTTTGGCATTTGCATGTTTCTCCCTGTGCCTGGAAGGGGTTCCTCCGGGCGCTCCGGTTTTTCCCACCACCCAAAACATGCAGCAGTATGAATATGATGAGTTGAGTGAGTGTTTGTGATCTGAGAAGCCGTTGGTACTGACACTATCATATGTCCAGGAATCCTACCACAAGCTTCTCACCAAGGGGTGGCTGGAATAGAACTGTTGTAACTGAGGTTGGTTTGTAAGTCACCAACCTTTTTGGAATTTGCCAACATTGATCAAAAAATACTCGTTTAAGCATTTAGACATTGTGCCCTGCTTTGGACCAGACTGGCGAGTGATCTACATTTTTCTTTACAATATTTGTTTGTACAAAGCTGTGTGTTTGAGATTAAACTAAACCCTAAAGCAATATCTACAGTTGAGGCTCCAGTTAACTCAAATGTTGTCCGCCTTCTTAACCTTCCAAGGCCATGACATCATAGTTTGTATGTAAACTTCTAATTTTATTTTGTTAGTTATTTGAATAGGGACAGTCCACATTAATTGGCATTATTGGAAATGGTCTTTTACAGGACTAAAAATTAACTTCAGACAGTGACAAGAAAATCATTTCCACTGTACTTAATCTGCATAAAAACAGTGATAAACTGCTGTCTGCTCCACGGAGAGAGATTAACGACCAATCAGAAATATTCAGAAACTCACAAAGAAAAGAGACGGAACCACATCCTTCTCAACAGCAGGCTGCAGATGGCTCCAATGTCGGATTGTGTGTCCTGGTCATTAGTGGTATGACACCTCACCCCACCGTTAGTGTCCATTTATGAATAGTGACTACTATATATCAAATGTTAATGGCATAACATGAACTGTGCCCACAAAAAACTGTAATCGCTAAATTAAGGCTAAACACTACATTGATGAAAACACATTCAAACTGTTTGTAATTATGTGATATTCCAAAAAGTTGTAACCACAAACTCTATTGTTTTAATAATGGGCAGTTCAACATTTACAAATAAAACCGAATAGCTGAGCAATTAAAAAATTAACCTGATTTTGATGTAAACACTTAAATTTATGTTAATGTTTTGTCAAAAAAGAACTACTTTTTCTAGTTGGAAGCGTTGCACAAACAGCACACATACCAGACCATCATAATAGTTTAGGGATCCACATTTGTTTTAGTAGTTTGTTTTGCTTGGAACTTGGAAGATTTAAACAGATGAAATGTATTCCTCCACCATCATAACATTTGTGTGCATATGTGAAATAACAAAAACCCAGGATGGTCTACCACAGTTAACCAACTGGTTTTATGCAGGTCTTTTTTGATATTTAGGTAGGGAGGAGCTTACTGCTGCCATTTTCGGCCTGTGCCACATCCAAAACGACATGAATATTCATACCTAATCTACTCTGCTATCCATTCCCAACCACGACCACCAGCCCTCCACCACAGCGCCACACACACACACACACACACCCCGGTCTAGAGTGGAAGGCAACACTTGTCGGTGGCACATGGCGAGACAGCTGTTGCGATCCGAGCCAGGCATCTGTGCGGTGAGAGAGAGAATGATGGCACCGTGAAGAAAGCCTCTGGTAGATACATATAAAACTGGTAAGAGTGGAGCGATGGGATCAGATTAAGATGAATTGCAATATTATGGATATACTGTATGTATAGAGAGAGTGGGGAGAGTCTAAAAAGAGGGGAGAGTCAGACCGACAGAAGGCCAGGGTGGCACAAGGGTCAGGAGGGTGAAAAGGAACGGGGCGGGCCAGACAGGGGGACATTGGCATCGGAGGGAGGGACTGTCTGGGGAGGACTGGTGCATGTGTGGGGGGGTAATGGTGTTGGTGGGCACATGGGGGCAGTGAGGGTACAGAAGAGCAAGGGCATGATGAAGGTAGGTCGTACTGAGCTTTTAAGTACCAGTGCATGAGCTGTAAAACAAATAAAAGACACCAAATCTGTCTCTATCATCCAATAACAGACCTCATTTTACTCTTAAGCAATCATGTCCAACCATATGTGCACTTTCTTACCCCTCATTTTACAGTTTGTACCCACAATCTTGTTACCTTTTCCTCTATACCAGCACAAAACGCAATCCAACTTTTATCTGCCATTGCATCCAACTCATTAGGGCCATTTATTGGTTTGGGGAGAAGACGATACAAAATGCTGTTTGGACAACCCCTATGGGCATGTAGCTGTTAGCCAACCTTAAACAAGAGATCACGGGTCGATGTCTGTTGGCGTTCCAAGTTTTTAATAATATCACACAACATATTACAAATCCATTATCAATTGGTTTTGTTGAAGGAAGAAATTGCAATGAGTAGAATGTATGGTATATGGAACCCTCCCGGTCAAAATGAGGGACTACATCCAGTTATAACGGTGAGAAAAATTCGTTGTTTTTTGAGTCATCATTTCTCAGTCTTTAAACAGAATTACTAATTTCACACACAGGCAGTATAGCTCTATGTTTCGTATCAGCACAGGCACATACGTTTATAAGTGACAGGAGATTAATGGTGGTGAATAGTCTCCTACGTAGACTCACAGAATGTCTCACTGTGCTGCTGCCTTTGTCCGGCCCGCTCTCTGTACTCCGCGGCCAAAACCAAACAGCACAGCCACACGTGAAGTCCACATCACTGAAAAACGCGTCTGAATCTGCCCAACAACAGGCTCCTTTATGCTCGTTTGCCAGTCTGTGCCCGCTCTGTGCCCACTGAAGAACCCTGTCACCCCCAGCCCCCACCCCCCCAGGACCAGGCCACCCTCGCCCTCTGGCCTCACCTCCCAGCATGGGGCCTCCAAGTTGCCTGCCATCCTTGAACTCTTATTGTCCAACTATAAAACTACAAGCAAAGCTTTTGATGTAGTCAAAAACAAAAAGTGCCCATGTCAAAAGGTGTGTGATGAATCGCATTTCAAATTAAAATGGCCAAAACAGCAATATACAAAGAAAGAGGAACAAAAGACAACAAAACATCACTTGAATTTGAGAAAATACTTGAATTCAGAATATGTTTAACATTTATCAACAGAACAAGCAAGTATCTTTTGTCTTGTTGTCAGCCAAAAACATTATTTTCTTATTCCAAAATTGACATCTAGTATCTGTTTGAAAAATAAATCATTAAATTACTACTAGGGCACCACCTGCATGTGAAAGCCAGATCCTGTCAGAGCTCAGCATGGCAGGCCCTGTTTAGTACTTCAATGGGAGACCTATAGGGAATAGCATGTGCTACAGTGGGGCGGCTTTAAATTCACGACTCTTTTGAAGTTGTTACGTTTACTCTGAAGACAATGAAACATAATGCACATAGAGGCTCAAATTGGCATCACAATCTGATCCAAATTGTGCGGTTCCATTCTAACTACACAAAGTTCCTCACAAAGTATAGTAGTTTTTTGCCTTTAGATGTAGAAGATGCTGGTTGTGGATCCCAGATCACTGTGTAAATGCCGCACTCAGACCGGATCATGTGTTGCGTCGGCTTTCAATGCAAAGTCAATGGTGACGCGCGTTCTCCAAACGTCTCGGAATGCACGCACGGACCGCGCTGGGAAGTTGAAGGGGAGAAACACAGGAGATGGATTTTGCTCAACCTTTCCTCGGGACGTTTGTGCAGCAACCAATCAGAGAGCCGCAAAGTGGGCACGGGGACATTTGCGGACTGAGCGAGCAGACTGAACATACTCGTAAACAGCCAAAACAGGAGCTACATTAGGACTAAACCAGGGTTGACAATGGGGGACATAGTGCTTGTTAACATGTGAGTTTTCAGGCTCCCGTGACTTTATGCAACTGCTTCGAGTGTGTTCGCCGATGCGGAAGTACCGTTTAATAATAAAATAAACTTATTGCGCACCTCCGTAACCACATACTAATGTTATATAAAGTGGAAGGTCTCTGAACACAGACACGCTGCAAAGCTGCATTATTGGAGAAGATCTGTACACAAGAAGCCGCTAGCTAAACTCTGTTAGCATCAGAGCCCGCCGGCTACTTACGGCACTTCCAGCGCGCGCCAGGACCTCTGGTCTGAAGACCCCTGCGTCTGAAAACTAGAGAACGTGCGTTTCAGCGTTGCCGGTCTGAAAGCACCATAACACTGTAATGAGTGTCGGTCAGAGGCCATTGGCGCAAAATGGCTTCATATGGTAGCTGTGGCCACAAATATACTGCATGAAGGAATGGAAAAAGTGGTTCGAAACGCTTATGCAAGTGAAATGTTTATGTAACTTGAATCTCTCAAAAATAGAATTGATCACATCCAATTTATGTAAGCAAAAGATAAAATGCCTGCTGCCATGGCTCCCGGTGGATGGAGGGTGTCTTCCTGGCCTACATATGCAGTCCTGCACTGGGACTGTCCTAAGTGTGTCAGGCCTCGAGGTGGTGCTCAGATGAGCTGTGATGGGGGCAGGGGGCACCAGGGGACCGCCTGATTGATGTTGTCAATGTGAGATGGGGAGGACCAGCTCTCTGATCTTGCAACTGTGACTGTTTGTGTCAGAATGAGCGGAAAGACAAATTACAGATGCATTCATAAAAAGTAAAGGTCAACATATACTGTATATATATCTTCTTATGTTACATTTTGAAAATACAGCCTTACAATGGCATGGCACCTAGTGTAAACCTTTTGCATTAAAAAAAAGATCATTCATTTTGCTACATATTCCCATCAACATCCATCAGGCTTTATGCATTAACCTCTAAAAATTACCTAGTTGCTACCACATTAGCATTATTGTTTTTATTCTAAATTGCTTTAAAATCAAGCAGTTCAACAATAACAATAACATTGGAATCCCAAAACCCATATCAGTATTTTATTTAAAAAAAACAAACCTACAAGATAATTATTGATATCTGAACACAACCACAAGCCGCCACGGGGAATGTTAAAGAGTACACCTGTAAAAGCCAAAGCCTGGAGATTGTTTAACTGGCCTGTCCACAGCTGCTTTCACAAGCACAGACCGGAAGTAGCTGTCAGCAGACTCTGCCTTGGCCTTAATAAAATTCTCCCTTCGTTTCTCTGGTGTAAAGAAGGATTTAATTAAAAACTCCTCTCCTCTGGGATAAGCCCCAGATTTGTGAGATAGAGTCAATCACTAATTCACTCACTAGATGATTCTGTGATTAGTATTCAGGAAGACTTATAAGACTTATAGAATATTAGACTCAATTATTCATTTTGATTTGAAGATAAAAACAAACAAAACAAAAAAAGAAACAAAACAAACATGCCATATACTTGATCTCTAGAGACACAGACAGAAGCATTACAACATCATCGAGATAAAGACGCAGGCCCAGCTGAGGCCTTTCCAATCCAGCTCACACAGCCTCATGCAAACACCAGCATAACATGTCGTACACCAATAAACTCAAATCTCATCAAGAACAAAGATGAAGATAAAAACAGGAAGTGAGCGTCCTACCATCCACCAGGATCGGGCAGAGAGGTCATAACAGAGCTGCCACCTGCGGCCTGGGTCACTCTGCTTCTCCCACGCCATCTTCTCCCGTCGTCCAATCCTCGGCCCCTGCACAGATCACACCACGCCGTCACTGGAAGATCACTCAGTCTATCTGTAACCAGGCTAGTGGTGTTACTGGGACCGGGGCTGTGCATGCGCTGGTATATACTGTATGTTGCCCATGATCTGTGGAGTGTGTGAGCGTGTGTGTGTGTGTGTGTGTGTGTCTGACTGTCTGTGTGTGTGTTTGGATGAGAAGCACAGTCCGACATGAGTCTCCTCCAAGCAGCTGTGCCTCGCCGTTCAGCCGTTCCAACTATCTTCTGCTGCCATATAGAGACTTATGGTTATCTGTAGAGTGAGGGCATTATTCCTTTGGGTCAGATAGAGTTGTTCTCGCTGCACAAAGGGATAGTTGCAGTTTACAAAGTATAGAAGCATGCGTGTGTATAGGGTGGTGGTGTGTGTGATAGACTGGTTCCAGGAGGCCCCAGGCCAGGCTCAGATGTAGGAGCCAGGTTAGACTGGGGCCCGTTGGACACTGTATTGAGGGAGAATCAAAGCCCAGTACAATGCATGTAAAAAAAACTCCCTTTTATCAAAACCAACAAAGATGATTAAAATGTACTTTTGTAGGGTACACGTCAAACATGAAGTACTTTTCCCTTACCTATAGCTCCTTTAACAAAACATATTTATATTTGAAGTATTGTTGCTTTTTTACAGTTGAGAAAAAAAACAAAAGCATTTTGATACATATTCCATTTGTGTACTCATATGTACTCATGATTTAATTGATGAGTTATTGCTGTGTAAAATTAAAACAACAGGTTCAGGTCTTGCAGCTCCAGGAGTAACATAAAAAAAAAAAATGTATATCAAAGGGTTAAAAAAAATTAATAAATAAGCAAAATTAAATGTTTCAAGGTTTTCTCTGTGCAAATCAGCTATTGCCTCAATTTTGATTTTTATTCATTTAGACTTTATTTAACAAGGAAAGTCCCATTGAGATTAAGAACCTCTTTTTCAACGGAGTCCTATAGACAAAATGTACGCACAATTTCATGAAATTACGGGTTATAAAATCTGTTACAAACATTTCATTTCATTTTCAACCCCTTTATTAGTCCATTTCTGGGTCGGGGGGGTGGCAATGAGAGCTGCCACCCAATGCTCATAGCACCAGTCCCTCGCTGATCTTCTGCAGGGGGTGAGTCCACAGGAAGATGGCTGCTCCATCAGTTGAGAAACCGCCTTGATCTTTCAGCGGGGGCTTCAGGCAACGTGGGGTTAAGTGTCTTGCCCAAGGACACAACGACAGCAGTCATCAGTGGGAGCAGTTGGAGTAGGTCCCATGGTGGGAATCGAACTCACGACCTCCAGGCCCAAAGGCCACTGCTCTACCAACTGAGCTACTGTCGCCTGTTACAAACAATTTTATAAAATTACAGATTACAACAGTTACATGTCAATGAGGATGTCTCAAATACTCTCTCTAAAAAGTGCTCTCTCTAAAAGCCTTAAATGAAATAAGTTCATACAAGACCAGTAGTACAGTACAATAGCTTCAAATACATTTCTAAACTACGATTCAGCTGTTTTTTTTAAATCTGAAAATGTATTGCATTATTGCGAATTTAGGTTTGCATCCCTTCACCCACAGTCAATGCTTTCAACTCAATATTGGACATTTTAAGATGAATTTAGTATATGAAGAAAACATAATTAATGATGATTTAATGGTACTTCCAGAACCCAACGTCAAAGTGTTGCTACTGAGTGTCGAGATTCACATGTTTTAAATGATTCATACGAATAAAACAAAAGAAAATTTATTCCCTGTCACATCCTGAAGAATGTTTTAAAATTCAACATAATCAGTGCACTTAAAAAACTTGTCTGACATTTTTGAAAGAACATTTCTGGTCCGGTCCAAGCACTCGCCCACCACAGCAGTCAGAAGTCTCCCTATAAGCACATGCCGCACATGCCAGTATAAAGACGAGCTCTCCTGCGCCAAACCGCTCGGCTGCTCACTTACAGCCAGCCGGTCTGAGCGGGGGACGAGCCAGCGAAGTGGCACCCAGGCCTCACCCGGACCCGCGCCCATCACTCCAACACAGGGACATGTCCAAGAGAATGGCAGCGCCGGGCCCATGTACGAGCTGTGTGATCACAAATATGCAAATGAGGCTAAACACCATGTATGCCACCTATGAGCCAGACGCCACGGCCAGGAAAGTTGAGAAAAGATGATTTTTTTAATGATTTATACATGTGACATTAACAAGCAATGCATACAGTGTACTTTTCTTTCACCTTTTGAGTCGCTATATCTCCTTGAAGCTGACTTTGGGGCATCTCACTGGGTTTTAGGTATTTTTACCATCACATAACACTAACCCAAACTGCATCTCAACCATTTCGTAAAGGTCTATGATACAAAAAAAGCAACATCAAAACAAATTCTTGCCTACATCTATAAAATCCCCAAAAGAAAAAATGACATTGCTTTTCTTCAAGGAGTGAAAATTAAAGGGTAAAGCAGTAGTTTACTTTTTACTGTTTTCATATAAACTCGTATCTGATATGGTTCATGTGATGTCGCACCACTATATTACGGCTCTTACTAAACAAAGTATGGATAACTTTCTTTCTTACGTTTTTATAAACATACACACGCACACATAGATACTTGTTAAGAAAAAAATATATAGATATTTTATTAGTATTAAGTATAGAGTTGTGCTATACTTATTATTCACTTTTTTGTTGAAGTATGCTCCTCATTTGTCCTGTTCTGTAACTTGATGCAACACTGAAATGTCTCCACTGTGGGACAAATCATAATCTTCATCTGATTTGAATTTGTTTTCAGGAATAGTTTGGTAAACGTGGTATTTCGGTGTAAAATGAGTCATTAGTGTTACTTTGAATGTATTGGGCTCATATATAACTGGTTCAAAACTTAACTTTTTAATACATATTTAAAACAATCATTTATAAATCCTTTTTTAGAATTGACAAGGCAATAATTGCACTAATTGTATTGTATGTCTATATCTTCACAATAAAAAGGCGATAATGACATCATAGTTATCGAGGACCTTTTACCACTTAAATACATATGTAAAATAATCATGATAAAATGTATAACATTTACTATATGTGATTTTTATGTTTGGACATTTCATTTATGAAAGCAAATTTGAGAATGTTACTTTTTTGCGTGTACATGGGTTTTGTGGCACACACTCTTGCCCACAAAGCGCTGATAGGGAAGTCACAATTTTGATATGTTTTGACGTGCACAAACAAAGAGGTAGAGTGGAACAGACAAACCCCAAAATGATATTCTCTTTGTTATAAAGTATGTTAATATGATTCATACTTGTATTGTTTGCGCTCTGCTTGGTCCATTTAGGAAAACATGCAAACAGCCAGTGGCCCTGAGTGTGGCTTTCCTCCACAGACAAGCACAGCTGCAAATCTATAAACACTAAAACGTGAAGTCTGCCACAAGCCGCTCCTGCTGCTGATGAGGACGGTCAAGCTTTCGCCTCACTGCTCTGAACGTGGCTCGGTCTGCGGCGGCGACTAATGACTGCATTCATTGTTGTATTTTCTCACTTTCTATCGGTAAATCAACAATCTTGAAAAGTTTGGTAAATTACGGGTTTTATACAAATACATTGATTTGGCTGGGGTGCTGATGGGACAATCCGATACAAGAAATGATGATACAAATGTCCTGTTATTGCAGAGGGTAACAGCAAGATGAGATAAGATAAGATAGACTTTATTGATCTCACACTGGAGAAATGTACAAAGTCACTGAGATTTGTGCAAAAGACAGAAGTGTGCAAACATATTAAAGGCAAATAATAGAGTCAGTTCAGGATATATATTATGTACAATAAAAAGGCAATTAAAGAAAGAGTGGCATTAGTAGGGCAGGTTTTTTTTTAGGCCTATTGCATTTGTGACTTAAAGTGACTTATTGTATAGTCTGACAGCGGTGGGGATAGTCTACATGCTCTAGTCTAGATGCTCGATGCAAAGCTCTTTCTATCTAATGTCTTTTGTTAAAACACACAATTAAAAGTAACATATTAGTTCTATGAAAGTGCCATTTTTGTGATCTCCGCAGTTTCGATCCCGGACTTAACTCTGGGGCTATATTCACAAAAACATCATTTTATGCCTAGATATTTGATTTAGTTCGACCAGCAGGTGTGCCACTGCGGGCCTCATTAGGAATATTACAATACGTGAGAGCCAGATCCCGTTAGACTTCTGAAGCTAAAGTGGGAACGGTCCTGGTTAGTACTGTGATGGGAGACCTCAGGGAACACCAGGTGCCACAGCGGGAGGACTGTGATTATTAAGTGCAAAAATGTTTGTCTTTAGGCAAGACACTTCACAGACATTGTCTAGAATGAGTCTGGTGTGTGCATGAAGGATTGGTGGTGGTCGGAAGGGCCGATGGCACAGACTGGTGGCCTTGTTTCTGCCAGTGTAGCCCAGGGCAGCTGTGGCTTCAGAAGTATTTTACCACCACCGTGTATGGAGTGAATGAATAATGACTTGTAAAGCTTCTTTTAGTGTCCAACAAAACTCTGTATAAAACCAATGCAAATTATAAGGTATTATTATTGTCATCAAACGCATTTTGTAGTAGCCTGGCCTTATCCATCCGTGCACTCCGGTCAATCATCATTTCCCTGCATGATACGTCTGGGTCTGGTCCCTGTGTTTGCAATTACAATTGGGTGAATTCCATCCAACCAATCAGCGAGTTGTAGTTAGTTGTGGGTGCCGAACGGGCAGTTGTAGTTTTGCAATGGTGAAGAACGCAGATAGTAAAGTATTCCGGTCTGGTTCTATCAAGAAATTGAAGCCGGAGCAAGAGGAATGTTCAGCAAATGTAATCGCTGGCAAAGATTGTAGCGCTACTCCCCACGGCGACAAAGGAGATGGCAAGGCTAAATGCTAAATGCTTACAACTCACTCGGTTACATTACCGAAACTCAGATCCAATCGTTTCAATCTGCAAAAGGAGTTAACCCCTTCCACCTGTTAACGGAGCACCTTCAGACCTTAGTACGAAAAGTAATTTGTACTATGGTGTGGTACAACCAGGCTAATTTTATACTGAAGTGTACGGCTTTAATTTTTATCCATAAACCACTAAGAACAAATGTGTGTTTATATACATGATTTAAGTTGTAAAAAAGTAGTAATTGTGTTATAATCACTGTCAAATATTTGTGTTTTTGCTTTAAGTCTGTATGAATGTCTTCACTCCACTTTGGGAAGAGTGAGACTATGAGACCATTGTTCATGTTTTTGCTGATGTCCGACCACAGACTTCTTTATACCAGCGACGGGGAGGACAGCAAAAAACTTCCTGCTTCATCTGTCCCTGAGGGCAGCGTTCGGGAAGGTTCCATGGTGAAGCGGCCGCAGTATTTGTGTGGAGAATATTGAAAGCAGAAGGAAATGTGCAGCTCATGAGCACAATAAAAACAAAGCCAATCCATTTGCCGGTGTGGCGTATAAACAGTTAGTCGGTCTGCATGAGGACCACGTTACCGCGATCTGCTTTAGACGGGTTTGTGAAAGGAAACAGAAAAGGCAGTCAGACAGCGAGAGTGGCTTCGGCCCAGTGTTTGGAACAAAACGGTGGATTTATTTACAAGACAAAATGCATTATGGGTTTGTTTGTTTTTCCGTCCCCGCACAATGGCAGACTTGATGCTCTGGAATGTTTCCTTTCAGCGGAATACAGTTTACGCTGGTGCAACATGAAACCTGAAACTGGAGAGTATTTATTGTACGGTGTGTTTATGAGACGAGTTGTGCAAATGAGTTCAAATTAAGTTAAGTTGATGCCTTGATCGTTTGGTAGAGACAGATTTATCTAAATATATCGTTTGTTTATTGAATGTTTGTTTAATTTGGTTGCATTTGGTTTGATTATGCACACTCAGACCTCAACCAAAAAGGGTGAAGGCTGAATTCATTATTTTATTTCTATGCATTTGGGTTGAGCTGCTTACATTCTTATGCTGGCACAACTTTACAAATTACAAATTAAAACTCATTATAATTTGACATTTCGGTAAAAAAAGGCGACTACCCCTCTTTCACGACATGTCACACCTATCTCTTCTATACGACAGCACCTGACGTCAATACTTTTTTTAGAGAAATTCAGCAGGTAAATCACAATTCAGACGTATAATCATCATAATAATTATAGAATAATAATTGGTTTTTCATACACAGTGGTGATAGTAAGTAATATTTATATATATACCGCCTTTCACAGATCAGAGTCACAAAGTGGTTTACATTTGTGATTTTTCACTCCACTTCGCCAGTACAGGAGGCGCATGCCAGACCTATTGTGCATGTTTTTTGTGGTAGGGGAAACCAGAGTACCCGGAGGAAACCTACGCAGACACGGGGAGAACATGCAAACTCTACCCAGAAAGGCCCTGTTCCGACCGGGATTCGAACCCAGGACCTTCTTGCTGAGAGTCAAGAGTGCTATCCACTTTGCCACTGTGCCACCCAGTGGATGGCACAACTGCACCAGGCCTGAGAAGTCCATGGCCCGGGGAGATGGACGCTGGTTTGGTTTTGGAGATTTTGGAAAACGTGGTCACTATAGCGATATTGTAGTGATAAACTACTACAGTAGCCACAGCTGCCCTGGGGCACACTGACAGAAGCGAGGCAACCAGTATGTGCCATCGGCCCCTCCGACCACCACTAGCCATTCATGCACCAGACTCATTCAAGACAATGTGAATTAAGTGTCTTGCCTAAGAACACATGGACAGTTTGGCACTCTACAGCCGCAGCCGTCCCACTGCCGTTTACACAAGTTCAAACTGGAATACCTAACCTTTCTGTTTGTTTAATCCATGTTGTTTGCGGTATTTAAATAAAGATTACTTACTTACTTACAATTATAAGTTCACTTCCTTTGGTTTTCACACTTTCTTGCAAGCCACAAGCACTTCCATTTTCCTACATATTTATAACTGAGAGCAAAGGAACTAGTCACATGGATTTTAGGATTTTAGGTTAGACTTTAATCTCACGTCTACTACAATTCAAATAAATGCACCCCCTTTCCCCTCCATT